TTTTTCCTATAGTTGAACACTGAGCTTTTATTTATTTTTTTCCCACTTAATTAGTTTTTAAGCTATAAATCAAGAGTGCTTTAAAAGTGTCAGTTGAAATGAAAATGGGGGAAATCCTATAAACAATATATGTATCACAGCACAGCCTGGAAAAAACAAAGGTCTTTGACTTGCCTACTTAAGTTTTCAGAATCACAATTTCTTCACTTTTTTAAAGGGCAACATGATACCTCCCTCAAAGAATTTTTTTAAAATGTATTTTATTGATTTTTTTTTTTTTTTTTTTTTTTTTTTTTTTTTTTTTTTTTTTTTACAGAGAGAAAGAGAGAAGGATAGATAGAAACATCGATGAGAGAGAATCATTGGTCAGCTTCCTCTTGCACACCCCCTACTGGGGATGTGCCCGCAACCAAGGTACATGCCCTTGACCTGAATCAAACCTGGGACCTTGGAATCCGCAGGTCGACGCTCTATCCACTGAGCCAAATGGGTTTCGGCTCCCTCAAATAATTTTTATGGAGGCTAAAAAAGAAAGTATACATAACATATTAAACAGAGTGCTTTGTGTGTACTTATTAATCAGTAATCTCAACTTCATTTCCCTTACCCAATGCATCATATCTTTTAGATAGAGAAGAAGGCCAGCTCACAGAATCTGCATCTCAGCAGTCTTAAAGTGGTAAGAAGTCAGTGTAGAAAATCAAGCGAAGTCAAAGGGTATTAAATGTAAGTGATTTTATTTTCCATAAAAGTTGAACTGGACGCTTCTGTGTAGAAAATTGTACTAGAATTGTTTTGGGCATAGAACACACAATGCAATAAAATTGCATCCAGTCTTGATGAGTGCACATTTTCTGAATGACCAGATTTTTTTTTTGGGGGGGGGGGGGTGCTAGTAAATGGTATTAAAAAATGTATTCAAATATATATCCTCCCCTGAGAAATGTTCTGTGTCTACTGGACATGGAAATCTGTCCTATAAGCTGAACACCTAACAAGTTGGAGATTCATTCACCCCCACAGCAAAAGCAATGGAGCAATGTGCACTCCTACAGAATACATGAGAAATACCAATTTCTACCATGGGCAAAACAATTCTGTAACCTAATCAGGCTTTGCAGAGTGATGGCTGTGCTAACCTGGGTGTTGTAAGAACCCTGTTCACTACCTTCCAAAATATGACTGCATGGCAAGAAGGGGAAAAGAGACAAACGTTGATGGTGGTGTTCTTTTCCTATAAGAAATTCTTCTTCCTCTGAGATTTTTTTCTGTAACTTACGAAAAACCCACTTGAGTCCCTAGGGTGGAGCACTGTGAATGATGTGCTAAAAACATGCCTGTCTGTGCTTTTTCAGTTTCCAGGAGCTTTAAAATACAGCATACAACCAGCATATATCCAGAAGGCAGAGACTTCACCCCAAGAACGGGGTTCTCATATTCTATCACTGGGCTCTAATGTCAAGCTTTAAAGTCCCCACCAAACAGCTAGATGTTTGATTAGCCCATTGTTAGAAAACAGATAATTTCCTCATGGCGAGGGAAATAACAAGCCACTCTAATTCTCATAATGACCTTCCCACCCCCATACCGCACCTCCTCATACTGCAATGAATGGGAAGGCTGAAAGATGGAGTAGGAGGAAACAATAGCCATTCTCATTCAACAGTTAGACCCTTCTCATTTGTTACAATGATTAATTGCATTTCTGCTAACCTTAGTAAAATAATCAATCTCAGCTCCAGTTGTGTAGAGGAGTACAAGAACAACAACTAGTTTGATAATGGCTGTTATGGAAGGCACAAATGACAACTTATCATTTCTCTTTAGTAAGATATATTAATACTTCTGTAAAAGAATATGTAATGGCAAAGTAACAAATTTATTTGATTGCTTATATAATCATAAGCTCAGTAGGAAATAATCATAAGCTCAGTAGGAAAAGATAAGCAACTTAATCACTGGACTCAACGAACTAAAACTCAGCATATAAACAGACTTCATTGTCCTGAATTAGCCTAATATGATCAATGGTTACTAGAAGCAAATATTAAAGCCACCTTTAAATCACGCACGCAATTCATTAATTTCCCCAAACATAACTATGCATAATCTTACTTCTTAAGCCTTAAAAGTATTATGATCTTAAAATACTTAGGTTAATAAGTGTTCCTAATCATAAATTGTACTTTAAACACACTTCCTGCCTCCTCCTTCTCCACCCCATTCCCACCTCAAAGAAAAACTTCAGAAATGAAAGAAAAAGGCCAGTATGGAAAGTCTATGTCCACAGGGACTACTAGCAAATTGATAAGCTGTGTTACTATTTACACTTCCATCATCAGAGCTAATTGTTAGTTATTTTAAGGAAGAGCCTATGCCTTAATGAACAGCACTTGGTAAGTGAAAGCTGGTGGCATTTCTCAAGCATGTTCACGTTTCACAAGTCTTATTTCACAGCAGGGATTCCAAATCATCCACTACTCTTATGTGATAATGCTTCTGATCAAGGAAACAAGTCTCTAAAAGACCCTGAAGAATTAGTTTCCAGAAATAGAAGGCAATACAAAGCATAATGAATGAGTAAGCTGATTATTTATCCCTAAAGCAGTAACATACTTCACACTGTAAACGAGAGAGGTTGAAGGAGAGAGACACACCTTTGGTGTTTAATATTTCTTATGCTGATATTTCTGAAAACTTCTCAAGCCCAAGAATTTAGGGGCAACATAATAATTCCTGTAGCAGACCCTTTCAGTACCTCTGTCCCTTCCATATCCTCAATCCTGTCTATGCCTCGGGTCTGTAGGGAAGGTTGAATCTGATCATGTGCTCAGAAGAACATAAAAACCATGGTTACTGCTTTGCTTTCCCTCTCATCCTGATCATTTCTCTGCTCATTACTCCTCTGCACAGTTATAGCATCTCTTCCCACCACCCACTGGAACCATCTTTCTGTCCTTCTCAACTTTATGATTCCTCCCAGTCCCTTCATTTTTCTGTTCTCTCCCAGAAGGCAAAAAATAAAAAAGGGACAGCCATCCATCTGCACCTGGCCTTGTGCATAGTCTACCGAACCTGGTCTAGATCAGTCCATTCCTTTTCCATGGGTGGCCTCAAAAATCAAGAAAAATAGAAAGAAAGAAAGAAATAAAATGCCAAAGAAAACATTAATAGTTGGCAGTTTTAACCACAATTTTGTGTTGCAAAGTATTTTTGTCTTTCCCTTCTTCTTTAAGAAAGTCGGAAATAATATAATGCCACTTAAGAAAACTATACTATAAAAAAGAATTTAGTTAATATCCCCCTATTTGAGTTTTTACTATTTATGAGTGATTGTGAGGCAGCAGCAAGAACAATAACAATGATAAAAGCAGCAATATAAACTTATTAATTAATCTATAACAGTTTTCTAAATTAATTTACCTATATGAACTTTTTTAACCCTTACAACAACCCCATGAGGAAAATACTATAAATGAAGAAAACACTGAGAATAAACTCTCCCAGCTTCACAAAACTTGTCAACATAACAGGAGCCAGACAGTCAGCCTTCGTAATAGACTTACCAGACCACCACAACTATTTCTATTCCACACACATGCCGTGTATTTCATTGAACATTTTTGCTGCAACTTTAAAGAAATGAACTTTTCTGGGACTAAGATGAGTAGAAATTGCTTCAGTGTAGAATTCTTTTTTAAATATATATTTTAATTGATTTTTTACAAAGAGGAAGGGCGAGGGAGAGTTAGAAACATTGATGAGAGAGAATCATTGACCAGCTGCCTCTTGCACACCCCCTAATGGGGATGTGCCCCCAAACAAGGTACATGCCCTTGACCAGAATCAAACCTGGGACCTTTCAGTTTGCAAGTAGAGGCTCTATCCACTGAGCCAAGTCGGTTTCAGCTGTGTAGAAGTTTTCTCCATTAAATACCCCCACCATTCATCTATGCCATATATGTTATGGTAAAGAATGGAAAGAAAAGAGAGTCAGGAGCAAGATAGAAATGCCTAAGTGAAGGCAGAGTTTCAAGTTAAGTTCCCTGGACCAGGTGCTGTGTGGTTCCCTGGGTCCAGCAGCATCCCTGGACTTCATCCAGAACCCACTGGCCCACCTGCTTTCAAAGTGTCTCCTTGTTTGTGCTTCCCTGTTGACCATCAAGACCCCCGCATTGAAAACAGACTAAAATTCATGCTAAAGGGAGAGACTTAAAGGAAAAGGCTCATTTTTTTTAAATTTCCCCCTTATCAACCAAGCATACCCAATAGCATTCTCCCAGTCCAGAAATTTTAAGAAAAGCCTCCAGAAATATGGCCTGGGTACTTCACTGTCTACCCAGGAAGTCTGGTTCAAGTGGAGGAAAAGTCAGACTAGGTAGGAAGATTTGAGAATCTAGGACAAAATAATCATTGGGACTTTATATGACTTTCATGGAAAGAGGACAATTAAAGCTTCTGTCTAGTACTTGCATTACCTTCTGTTTGCTTTGGTGCCAGGAATAACTTCCGGAAATACAGAGAGAATGTCTCTCTATACATTATGTAAAAGAATAAATTGCAAAAGTAGAACACTTTGTCAATCCGTTTTAGAGTAATTACAATACCAAAACAGTTTTAAGCCATTATTTCATTTCTTCTACTCACATTCTACCCTTCAGCAACTTCTTAAAACAACAACAAAATTATCAACCAAGAGATCAAGCCAGCCTTCCTGAAAAAGAGAAAAATCTGTTCTGGAAGCTTTTGCTCTAACCCAATTGACAATTTGGTGTTAAGCCAAATGAATTTTGAAGAAAGAAAAAAAATCCTAGCAAACTATAAGCATCAGGCAAGCATCAATACAATACAAACACCATCTTTGAAAAATGCCAGTTACATTAAAAAAGAAAAACCACACACACACACACACACACACACACACACACACACACACAATTAATAGTTGGGAAAAGCACAACTCCCTTTCCCAAAGAAAAAAAAGCAGTACAAGTACTTACAGTATCGTGAGACTTATCCTTGACATCATAGACGGTGAGTTTTATTTTGGTCTCCTCATAGATGGGATACTCAGATGGGAAAGTGACACCCGTCAAAAACAGTGGGTCTCTTGTTCCCTGTAACAGCACACGCAGACAACTTTAATTCAACAAGGCAGCAACTGCAGTGGGCAGCACGCAGTGACACAGGAGAATGCAGAAAGTGTGTCTGGGTGCTTGTTTTTCTAGGAAATAGTTCTATGAAGAAAGATCTGAATTACCAAATAATGCTCAGAGGCCACAATATGGCCCAAGGCCCTAAAGAACTAATATAGCTGTTGATAGTAAATGTACCAGTCTCCTCGTCAGAGCTGCTAATAGTTTGAAAACCAATGTTATTTTCATTATATGCAGGACCCTTCTTTGGGGTCAGCTGTTTAGTCAATTTAGAATGCAGTCCATGCATATAACCTGTAATTTATGCATATAAACTAAGATATTGACTGATCAAATTAAGATGAAGCAATTTTCTCATGAAGAACTATTTGGGAAGCGTATGCTGTCCATTTGTTTCCTTTCTGAAATGATGCTATGGAGAGCCATGCTCTGATAATGCCCATTTGATTTTAGATGTTCTGCTGAGTGTGTTTTCCTCAGACTAGAAAACTAATGACAGAAACTAAGTGTGATGGATTTGAGCTATGAAATGTCTAGCTCAGGATACAGTGCTCAGGATATCTCAGTGTCTCATAACTTATATTTAGAGAGTTGATATCCAACATTAAATTTTATATCTACATTTAAATATCTATACAAGGTGGCGCAAACATAGGTTCACAGTTGTTAATATGGAAAGTAATTAATAAATAAGAATACAAGAATAAACTGTTTTGTGTAGGTACTCACAATTGTCAACCTACTTTTCACCCCACCCTGTACTGCTGAATATTATTAAGATGTTTGCTCGAGTTTTGCAAACCATTTGTCTATAAAAGTTTCTGAAAGCCCAAATAATTAATTTATTCATTCATTCTTTCTTCTTTTTATTCAGTAAATACTACTTTTGTTCCTCAGTGTGTCAAATGCTTTAGAACAGGAAGTGAATAAAACAGCCTCAAACAACTATAGAATCAAATATAAAAATTGGAAGTATGTCAAAATAAATAATTTCTGTATTTTGGCACTATTTCAAAAATAATGCAGTTGAAGTAACACTTAAAATTTTTTCACATAAATGAACCATTTTACAATTTCAGTTTTCTTTAAATGAATGTCATATTTTGCTTGTTTAATTACAGTATTCACCACAAATTATACTAGCATATTGGAAGCCAAAGTTTCCACAGGGCAGACTCAGGGCTGTGTGCAGGCCCTGGGTCATTGCCATCAGAGAAAGGAAAGGAGTTCAGTCTGAATCATTTATGCCACCAACTGCATCAAGACTTGAGGTCAGCACTGAACCAGCCAGGCCTGAGGTCACTTTTTACAGAGAAACTCATTCTAAACAGTCAGGGCTCACTAGTCTAAGAAAGGCAGGCAGAGCTGAAGGAGTTCAAAACGCACTTTCTTTAGTCCCAGATGGTCTGAGTCCTCTCTCATTCATCAATGCTGTAGAATATGTGTGATAACAACAAAATAATCAAAAGGGAAACACTTCCTCGTTTGAGTCTGATCCAATACAATAACAAGTTTCCTATCGACACAGGTTGAAGGTTATATTAGTAACAATAAATGTAAATAGGAAGTCTCTCATCTGATGAGTAATATTTACACCTTTTGCCTAGAAACATTACAGTTTTTAAAAATCATTATGGACCTTTCTTTGAAAAATATTGTCCTTTCAAAAGACAGTCACAAACAGTTGAGAATATAGTTTCCACAGACAGACTGAGGACTACAGGAAAAATAAAAAGGGGAAAAAGTTTTAACAGGTTTAAAATTTATCTGAGTACTTTCATTTCATAATTTACATATATAGCACTATATCTATGACATCCTTTTGGAAGATTCCAAGTGGGAGATTTTCTTTCTATTTACTAAATAAAAATAAGGTCTTTTATGAAAAATGCAAATTCTTCCCTCACTAGTTTATTCTGGGAAGTTACCTTGCATGCTGGATGACCTCAAAAATGCTTTCCTACATGACAGGGGATAGTAACACAGCATAGCTATGCTAGGGCGAGCTAACTGCTTTCAGCTGCTTGCTCAAGTCCAGAGAGAGATTGAGAGAGAGAGGGAGAGAGGAATGCAGGCAAGGAATGCAGGCGCGCAGCATGCTCACCTCCACAATTTCCGTGCTGGAGTATCTTGTCAGCCCCTGCTCCGAGGGGTGGATTACGGAGATCTGCACCAGGGTATTCAGCTTCCGATCACGGACTGGAGACACCAAATCCTTGCAAGCTGGCGGAGGCAGGGCAAAGAGAAAGAAAAGAAACTGACACTGTGTCTCAGGGAAAAACTTCTGTCCGGAGTTGGAAGTAAAAACTTAGCTGCGGCGCTGAATGAAATCTCCCTCCTCCGGGCACTTGGCTGTTTTACAGAGGAAGTCCCTTGGAAGTACCTTACAGAAATAGGAAGTCACGTGCTGCGGAGCTCAACTGAGAGTTCATTTCCACTGACCACATTTGCAGCTCTTGCAAGTCTCTGCGCTGGGATCCCAGCTCCACTGTGTGACTGCATACACAGCTCAGGGGCGTGAGTGACTTTAGTCTTGAACACCTGGGCTTTTAATTCACACTCTTACACCAAGTAAACAGAGTCAGGCGCTATCTAGGAAACTAGCTGTCTGGTGTTGACACTGGTTGGATTAGTTCAAAGGTTGGAAGGCACACTTGCTCCTTACCTGGCTATTGCCTAGAGCTAGCTGGCCTCCGATAGTCGTGCACAGGGACAGACACAGTGGAGAGGCCAGCCGGACAGCAGCACAAGCCACAAGAGAAAGGCAGAGGAGGGGTAAAAAAAAAAAAAAAAAAAAAAAAAGGGAGAGAGAGAGAGAAAGAAAAAACACAGCCCTCTGTCTGGGATTCCAGCCAAGTCTGGGAGGGAGAAATGTGGAGTAAAGATGGGTTAAATTTCTGCCCAGGGGCCACAAATGTAAGAACTTTCCTTTGAGACACCAGGTTCATATTACAGACTCTCATCGCTATACCATATTTACTGGAATATTTTCTCCTCCCACATATCATGCCTGTAATTTGATCAAGAAAACTAAAAGGATTCTTTTGCAACTGTGTTTCCTCCCTTGGCTTGAAAACAATGATTTTACTACAGACTGTTGCATCTTGAAGTATGATGCAGTTTCCTCACCAGAAGGGGCTCAAGTTAGGCTCTGATGATGGGGAGATGCAGGCTGGAGCAGTGATGGGGAAATGGAAAAGCAGCCCTGGTCCTGGGTTCATGGGGGGTAGGGGGGGGGGGGCTGGGCTCTATAGCATGCCTACCCCATGCCTCAGACCAGCAGAAGAAGAGAAGGAGGGATGGGTTTATTAAACTACTGCAACAAAGGAACTAAGGCTTAACTTTGAAACTTGAAAGCAAAGGTCATTATCACCTTTCAATGGCTTACAGATCACCTCATTTTGTAACTGCAGAATGGGAGTAGCAGGAGCTTTGGAAGAAAACAGGCCAGGTTTTCCTCTAGGTACCCCAGTTAACTCCTTCCTGCCAGACTTGGAGATCTTTTCACTCCTGTATGGTATTTGGTCATCATTTTCCTAATTTAAACCATGCTGTCGGTTAGGGAAGCATGAGTGGAAAGAACAAAAGCTGCAGTTCATGTAGCGCTCACTATTTTTGAGGCATTTTGGTATTGATCTCTTTACTCCTCAAAATGGTGCTTTGAATTACTTCGGTTTTGCACATGAAGAACGAGTAGCGTGGGAATATCACATGCTCACGTTTACATTACCAGGCTCTCATCACTTGCTTACATCATGGACTGTTAGCTTTGTTAGCTTCCTTTCCTTTCCTGACATCCTGCATTCCTCTCCCACACAACAGCACTGCTCTCTGGAAGGCCTATTACCAGGATTCTTTGTTGCTCAACCCAAGAGATCTACAGTTTTATAAAGTACTGATGTGAGGTTTTTCAACAATGTCAACATATCGCCGGAAGGGGGAAAAAGGTTAGATTTAGACTGTACTGTTCTTTGGTGGTTATTTTGATCATTTCCTCCACTTGCCTTACGAGAGTGTTTAATTTATCACTCCCTTTTCTGCTCACAACATATAGCTCGCTCTCTTTCTCTCTCTCTCTCTCTCTCTCTCTCTCTCTCTCTCTCTCTCTCTCTCTCTCTCTCTCTCTCTTCCTCTCTCTCTCTTCTCTAACTGATACCAACATATATCTGTTTTTGGATTTTAAAGCTGAGGTCAATTTGTTTCCAACACATGCATCTCACACTCTTTCTGCTCCTAGCCTTGTCGCTACCTTATGACACTTTTGCTCAAAGTAAGTTACTACTTTGGTGATTTCTTATCAGGGGTGAGTGTGAGCTGTGGTTATTTCCCAGAAGTGAGCAGCTGTTCTCCGTTTTATCAGAGACACTCTCAGACTCACACCTCATAAAAACAGAGAAAAGCTCCACTCAACCGCAATGTTCTGTCCAAACAAAATTTCAGATCCCCCAATACTGATGAGTAAAAGCAATAATGGGATTTTGTGTTTCTTTATATTTTACTAGAGGCCTGGTGCATGAAATTCATGTACTCAGTGCGGGAGGGTGTCCTTCAGCCTGGCCTGCACCCACTCGCAGTCCAGGAGCCCCGTGATTGATCATCCTGCAGAGGGAGGCCCCGCCCACTGTTACTGGCGGGATAGCCTGGGCCTCCCTCTTTGGGGCAATCGTGGAGCCCCCCCAACCAGTGGCCTGGCCTTCCCTCTGCAGGGTGATCAATGGCGATGGCAGGACCCTCAACCAATCACATCACACTTGCCTTGGAGGCGGCAGTTAGTACTGAGTCATCACCGTGGTGCCCACCACCCAGGAGGGACAGGGAGATCAGCAGGTTAGCCTGCTCACCAGTCCCCACCCACCCGAGCCTGCTGCATGTGCAGTCTGGCGTTTGGTCACTCGGTCAGTCATTTTGGACATTACAGACCCTGGCTCTTTATATATTAGGATAACTAAAAACAAGTACAGAAAACAACTCAAGTCATAATCTTGGGGTACACATATCTCTCTTCTCAACAGCCAAAATTACTGTTCCTTAATGTGTGTGCAGCAAGATGTCATGCAAGAACCCTCAGATGGGTCAGAATTCCTGAGCTGTACCCCAGATTCCCTATTTCCTAGGTGTGTGCCACTAAGTCCCAAACTCTTAGACACTCAGTTTCCTCAAATGTCTATTTCTCAGGGTGGAGGTGAGGAAGAAATCATACCCTTCTTATGAATAGATTTCCTTTTCCATGCAAAATAAAGTCCACTAATATTATTATACTAATACTTATTAGTATTAATGCCAACATTTACCAATATTTATTGTTGTGTTATACTGAAAATTCGTTTTTTTATTGACTCACATTCAGACAACCCCATAAAACCCATCACTAGGCCTAATATTTCTTTGTAAATATCAAACCCATTACATGAGTCATTACATTTCTTAAAGTGAAATCCACACCAGCCATTAACCTACTAGCGTACATATACTGAAACTACATGTATTGAGAGGTGAGGGATGATAAGTGTTGAGCAAACTGCATTGCTTCATGAAGAGATAACTCACAGGGGCACAGTAAAATCTAACCACAGGAATTACACAGTAGCCAATAAGGAGCCTGAAAGCTCTGTTGCAGGAAGAAAACAATGTTCTATTAATCTGCCAGCCATACTTACCATTGTCCATAACCCAACCAAAATTCTGCTATCAGAGTGACCCGAAAAAATGGCCTGCTTCCATTGTTTTTTTTTTTGTTTATTTAAGAATTCTTTAATCAAATGGGTAGTGATGAATCAATGCAATCGATTTTTCATCAGTACATCATTTTTACTTTAATTTAGGCCTTTTTACTGGTGTTGTTTTGGTCTGAGCTATTTAAAAGTATTCTCAGAACCCAGACGAGTGAAAATACACAGGATGCTGACAGGTTGAGATTTGAATGTGCTTGTGTCCACTGAATTAACTTTTTTTTTTTTCTGAAAAGGGGAAAAAAATAACAAAATAGAAGTAATTAGTAACTTTTTTTTAAAGTATAATTTGAAGCATTTCTTTAGGAAAAATAAAAATGCTACAAGAGACTATTTTTCCTGTTAACTGCTATAATTACTAACGATGTGAGGGTTTACTTTCTATTGTTAGTGATTGTTAGATGCCCATAAGTGTCCCTAGCTCAGACCTGTACAGGAGCCAGGAGGTTCCCACTCTCCTAGAAGGGAATCCTCAGTAAACAAATGGAGCTTCAATATCTCAGGGAAGAGCCAGGCATTGAGCCAACTGGAAAGCAGAAAGCATAGGCTGCGAGGGAAGAGGGGACCACTATCTACTCAAAATCACAGCCTGAAGGAATGAAAGCCCATTGCAGCTTTGTTTGAGGATTTGTCCAAAGCTTGAAATCCTAGTCATGATAAGCGCTAAAACATTCAGAGCCACACAAAATACATCTGTGACTAGATTTGGTAAAAAAAAAAAAAAAAAAAACACACACACACACAAAAAAAAAAACAGGAGTGCCAACCTCTGTTCTGGATGCTTAAAGGTACGTACTCCCTGAATGCTTAGGAAGAGAGCACTGATCACCTTTTGCCCAATCTTTCAAATATTTGAGAGTCCAGAAGGTGAAGGGCAGGATCTTTCAGGTTCATATAGAGTTACTATTCGGTCAACATAAAAACACTGTTTTTATAGATGGGCCGTTAGTTTCATTCACCCATCATTTCTAAATCACGCCAAGAGCTCAGTCCCAGCAATAATCAATTTGAAGTGGAATGCATGTGTTCTTTCAGGTGCCCTTGAATACGCAGCACTGGCCAAATTCTAGGAGTCCTAAGGCCTGCCTGGATGTGGAATGCACAAATAAGAGGGACCTGCCTCAGGCTTGCACACCGGCAGTGCTGTGACACCCCAGGGCAGCCTGAGTTCCCTTTGACACCGAGCAACCATCTCTTTCCCCTTCAGAACTCGGTCGTCTGGGAAGTCAGCTCATTGTTCTTGCTTTGATCTATTTCATCTCTCTTCTTGCCATTCAATAATAGTGACATCTAACAAAGTTCCTGCTTATTAGTATTAATACAAAAAAAGAAAAAGAAAAAGCAATGGTCACAAGAAGAGGAGATGAGAGCAGCACTTTAGTGAGTGTCTCCACATCTCAACAATTCTGTTCTTCAATTAGCCAAAGGAAAGTTCAGCTTAGAGGAGAAAACCACACATACTCTAAATGACATATATAGAACAAAGGAATTCTT